GCCACATCTTCCATTCATTCATATTTTGTTGACACCTGTATGTTCAAGGTTCCACTTCTTTTTTTTTAATCAAATTAATTTTTTCTACACAAATCCCTTCCACTCCCTCATAACCCGCCGGAGAAAACCTTACCGAACTGGGAATCAATTTGAAAATCCGTAGATTTAATCATCGGCAACCGGTCAAATATCTTCGGCGATTGTCTTTTTTCTATACCACCCAATACCTTTCACTTTCATTGTTTATCATCTTCTCACCAAGAAAATATGAACCATCTGCAAAACCTTTTACCACCAAAAATTACAAAGAAAAAATCACCAAAACTCAAAGACAAAAATCACCACCTCTAAAGATCAAAGAGAAAAATCATGAAGCAGTGAACAACTTTTACCATGATCGAAATCAGACCCGACTTTTCCCAACAAATCAACAAATAATTTCAGAAAATCAGAAAGCAGCGACCAATGATCGAAATCAGTCCCGTTTTTCCCAACAAATCATAAAATAATTTCAGCAAATCAGAAAGCAGCGAACGATGTTTGCTTTTCGATTTCTTTTGAGCAATTTATACTACAAAATCAGACCTGATTTTTCCATCTTCCTTGATCCGATGGGTTTGTTTTTATGATAATGGGTGTAGATTTTTCTCTAAGACGGAGTGAAGAATAGACAAATATGGCGGTTTAATATGGAGCTTTTGGAGTGTGATTTATTAAAAATTTTGTTATGGACTTAATTTGGAATAAAGGGAAAGAGAGGGAACAAGAAGATGAAGAGAAATGGAGAGAAGAGGGGTGAGAGGAGGAATAAATAGAAGTGAATCTTTTTTTTTAATTATTAAATTTTATAGTATTCACACGCTTTATACTCTAATCAGGAGCCTACCTGGAGAACAAAGGGAAAAGTAATTCAAGTGTTGGCAATCAGGAGCCTACCTGGAGAACAAAGGAAAAAGCAATTCAAGTGTCGGTAATCAGGAGCCCACTTGGAGAACAAAGGAAACTGGGTCGGTCCATTTGGGGTTTGAAATTGGGTTAATTGGCGAGGCTGATTTGGCTAGAATCGAAATAGTTAGGGCTAAATTTTAAATAGCCACTTTTTCCATTAAATTTTCTACAAATGTTTATTATGTCCATCTATTTTTAAATATGAAAGCCATGGGAAATCACCGTTTGGGATGTCTCCAGATTTCTTGAAAAAAAAATCAAAATTTATTAGGTGTATCAAATGCCAAAATCAATGATAGAATCATATAAAATAAATAAATTCGAGTAAAAAAATTCTTATTCCAATTCAAATGGTGAAATTTTTCTGACTGTGTAACAGTATGAGTCGAGGTTTTCTGAGTTTGCCCGTCATGCCATTTGGATGGTTCCGACAGATCGTGACAGGGCTCCTGATTGTTGTCTTCCTTGGAACATTGCTGCTTCCCTTCGTTCTCCATTTGAGCCTTATTTGTCTACATGTTAATTGCACCCCAAATTCACAATAATTGTCTCGCCGGGAACCACATTAGTGGATTTTGAGGGGTGCCTAACACCTAAACCCTAAACCCTAAACCCTAAACCCTAAACCCTAAATATTAACACACAATTGACCACATCAGCTATAATACTAACACATAAGCATCGTCAACGGTCAAAGATGTTTACAAACTGATGCAAGTTTAAGTGGTCAGGAAGTCATTTCGCCTTCAATTAGTTGCTTAAACTTTGAAATTGCCTTATTTTCACCGCACCAGCACAGTGGTTCATGTCCATTATGCAATTTATTCTGCATCTCTTTTGCCTCTTGATCTAGAAGGAAGTATTGGTTCACCTTCTTTAGATGATTTTTCTAAGCTCCTATCTCTCAGTTTCGTAAGTTACATATGAAAGCAGAAAATGTAGATATATTTGCATTTCCCCTACCTAGGTTTTCTAGTCACTGTTTGCTACGTAACCCTTTTTCATATGGGGCATTTGTATCTATACTCGCTTTTTGTGTTACGTTTTAACTTGTGTCCGCTTTGCAAAAAAAATTACAAGCGTACCTGCTTTTTCGCATAACTTCAGCATACGGGGCTGAAGTAGCAAAGACAATCACGCAAAACTTCAGCATTCTAGTAATCGGGCCTGAAGTTCAACTCTAGAGCTGAAGTTTATTTTTTAACTGGCGAACTTCAGCTCTAGAGCTGAAGTTTTTGTTTTTGTAACTGGCGAACTTCAACTCTAGAGCTGAAGTTCTTGTTTTGTAACTGACAAACTTCAGCTCTAGAGCTGAAGCACCACAATTAGCAGTGATTTTTTAATAAAAATAGTGTACGTCTTCTCAGCTCAAACACGAATAAACATACAAAAACTCAAAAATTTTACAGCTCATCCTACTGGTAACTTAAACTTTTTCCTAAGACTAATTTGCTGTAAATTTGGAGCAGAAGTACAACTACCAAACTGTTCAATTAAAAAAAATTGACCTTATAACTAAAGCAGCGTTGCTTCTAGAGATAAATACCAGTTTATTTTGTAACTTGAAGAAGAAAACGAAGGAGGAGAAAGGGGGCTGAAGTTATTTAAAAAGTAGGTACAAGTTAAAAATTTTTAAAAAAATGGGTATAGGTTAAATGGGGGCGACCAAATAGGGCGCCCCGTGCAATTTTTACTTTTCCCATGCATGTAGAGCCGTCAAATGGGCTTAGCCCATAAGGCCAGCCCAACCCAGCCCGTTACTTGAGTAGGGTTGAGCTAGAATTTGTTGAGCTCATTTAAAATTGAGGCTTATAAGCCCGACCCAAGTCAGCCCGCTGGCCCTTGAGGCTTGACCGAGGCTGGGCCTGGGCTGGCCGTGGGCCAATAATTAATTAACTATTAAATATTTAATATTTAAAAAAGTAAAAACTAAAAAAAACTATTAACTATAATCCCCATTCTCCAATCCTAGATTGCTCGTTTACCCTTCCATATCAACTAGAATTAGATTTTTGACATGCATGTAATATGACAAAATTAATTTTTCTTTTGCTTAATTAATAACGAAGTCGAGAAGTTTTAGGTGGCCAATAATAATCTTTTTCAAAAGAAAATATTACTCTAAGTGGCCAATGATCAGTTTGGATTACTTTAATATATTATTAGTATTTAAATTGCTCTTCTTCAGTATAAAAAAGATCAATTTTAAATACAAAAAAAAAAATTGACCACTAGCAAATTTCAGAAATTTTAAAAATTTTATGGATTATAATGATGAAATCAACAAATGATGTTAATCCTAAATTTAAAACCTCAGCATATAAACTTATTGAAGTAATCCTTGAATTTGAGGAAAATGAAAGAAAAGTGTTAAGAAAATATTCATGTATCTTTAAAAAAGAAAGCTAGAGATATAGAGAATTTGCATTTCAATTACGAGATTCTTCGCCAAATATCAAGCTTTTTGTACGCTCTAAGCAAACAGATGTTGTTTACATGATTAATCGATTATATCACGAAAAAATATTTAAGGATTTAAAGAATTTTTTTTCTAAAAAAAATTAAAAGGCCGGCCCTCCCTAGCCCGCAACCCTCCTAGGGCTGGGTTGGGGTGACCATTTTAAGGCCCACTCATATGGCAGGCCGGCCCGTTCTAGCACACCAAAATTAAAAGCCCACGAGACTTGGGTTGGGCTAGACTGACCCGTTTTGACAACTCTACATGCATGGTTAAGATTTAGTTTTATCATGCCAATAGTTCTAGAACTCAAAAACATGCACGTATCATAAATTTTGATCGTAAATTAACCTGTTATTAGAATGACGGATATAAACATGAGTAACACTCCATTAAGTATGACAAAACTAGGAAACATGATATATTTAAGATCTCCACTTGCCTCGTATCCAAGCAAGCGCACAACTTCTCTATTGATTTGTCTGATTTTCTTGTCCCACTCAGTCAAATAACTCGCTCTAATCTACGCAATGCAATAACACGATCAAATTACCCCTAAAGGATAAATTTTAAGATTTAGTCAAAGTCAAAATTCAATCTTGAGCAACAACGTCAAGTTGACGAACCTGATATATTTATTTCAGATTATCCATAATCTAGCTCGGCCTTTGATCAGCTTAAGTTCACTTATCAAAGCATTAGCAAGGTCATCTTTTAGGACCCCAACACAGCCATCTATTTGTCACATATAGGGCTACTTTTTTATAAATTAATCATTCAAGATCCCAAGTCATCCTCACCAAATAACAAAATAATTAATGGATTTTTCTATGTGCTTCTAAAAAGGTTTTTTTTTGTTTTACCTAAATTGAAAAAAGATTTGGAGTTAGTTAAGATCATTTGGTTGTGAAAAAGAAGAAAAGGAAAAAATATCTTTGGTTGACTTGGTGGAGATATTAATAATTATATACTTCAGAATTTTTAAAAAGGAAAAAAAAAAGAAGCTACCATGTGGGATCAGACAGATTCTAATTTCACGTGATGCGGATTCTTTACTAGGACCCCAAAGGTAAGGTCCCTCTCAGCAGTGGACATGGTGTCAGCCGACGTCCTATGTCCGAATATCACCTTGTTTAGCTCGGTAATTTTAAAAAATATATATATATAGTGTATAATGACACCCGTAATTTTTTGATGAGTTTATTTTTTTATATTTTGACTCACCTTAATAAAATAATTTGGCTCCGCCGCAACCTCTCAAATAAACACGTTTTGGAAAAGCCCATTGCCATAACATCACTATAAAATATAAATTGCCTGGGTATACCTAATTAAATAGCAGAATCTCACCAAATACGAAACTGCTCCAATTTTCTAAATCTGTAAGTTGCTTTTATTCTCATTTTAGAATTCCTACGCAATGTCCCTTTAGTTTTCATTCTGATTTGCTTTTCTCTCGAATTTCAATTGTTTCTTTTGGGTAAAGCCTTATTATTGAATCGAATTCAGTGGAATGTGTTTTTAATCGTTCATTAAGATGTGATCCATTATAAAATGGAAGCAAAGGTGTATTGTTTATGTTTCTTTGTGATTTGTGTTGTTATAGCTTTTTGTTGCCTTTTATGTAGATTCGTATTTTATTTATTTTATTTTAATGAAATGGGGGACATATCTGCCATCTGGTTTATTTTAATGACTACTTTTTCACAGGGATATCATTTTTCTTCAATTCTTCCACCAAATTTCTTCACGTTACCTTTCTCCCATGTATGATTAAGATTTTCTTGTTAGATGCCAACATTTTCTAAAACTCAAAAGCATGCACATAACCCTAAGATTCTGATTTTGATTAACCTCTTAAAATGATATGATGCTGTTAAACAAAACAGATAATAATAATTCAGCAAATCGTAATGCCTATTAAATTAATGTAAAAGGAAAGCATCTCTCTTTTTTCCTTTTTTTTTTTTGGGTGTGTAGAAGAAGAAACTTTAAGAGAGGGTAGATTACCAGCTTAAAATCATAGGCATAAACTCTGGAAGTGTAATGTGACAGAAGTTAATGAATGAATTGGAAAAGTACTTCAATAATTGGAGAAGAGTCATTTCCTTATGACAGCAAAAGAGCTACAATGGTAGTGCTTAGGCAAATGTCTTCTGAATTTATAGTTATATTTGTTCCAACAAAAGTTTCTCCTCTTGATTTAACATATTGTGCATTTTACAACTCATTCATTAGAGGGAATCTGCAGGATTTTTTTTCCCTCTCAATCACAAATGCGATGTTTTCTGCGAAAAGAAGAGTTGAATGGCATTTGGCTTTGGTGTCTCGTGAAAATTGTTAACTGGCCTGCATAGCAAATGCTTCATAATTTTTGCCTTTCAGGAAATTGCACATTAAATGATCTGCCCATGCTATTGCTAATTGGCTCTAAAAGCAGTCCTATTGAACACTTCTGCTGCCTTTTATTATATTTAGAAGATGGATTCACATGTTTTCGTCTTCTTGAGCCGAGTTTCTTTCAGAAACAGCGCATCTACCCCGCAGGGTAGGGATAAGGTCTGCGTACACACTACCCTCCCTAAACCCCACTAATTGGGATTTCACTAGGTCGTTGTTGTTGGATTCACATGTTCACGCTTGGGGAATTAGGACCTCTAAACTTATAGGAATAACGTAGAGTTGTAGACTGAGCATTCATCCTGATAACAACCTCTCTATCCTGCGGGGTAGGGGTAAGGTCTGCGTACACACTATCCTCCCAGACCCCACTAGTTGGGATTTCACTGGGTCGTTGTTGGATTCACATGTTTACGCTTGGGGAATTAGGACCTCTAAATTTATAGGAATAACGTAGAGTTGTAGACTGCTTATTCATCCTGATAACAACCNAACAGTATCAAGCCCAACCAGTAGAGGAAAGAAGTTTTCACCCACTGAACTGTGCTGGATCAATGATACTGCACGGCAATGCTACTTTAGGGATGTAAACTTAACTACGAGGTGTATATATGTATGACAAGTTTGAATGGTCTTACTCATTTTAGTGCTAGGAACGTGTGAGTTGGAGGCTTTTCAAATGGGACATGTATGTTTTTGTCTATACAGTCCTTGGCAATCATGATGAAATTTAATTCAAATAGTGTCATATCCTCTAAACACCTATACCAGAAATTAGAGTTGGAATTCAAACTGCATGAATTACTTACTGTTGTTAGTCAAGAAATTAGTGAAGTCAAGATATCCTTCTCTGTTTAGTCAGATTGCATTCTTTTGTTTCCCTGGAGGGCTGATATATGAACTGTAATTCGTTCTACGATTCACAGGAAAGACTTCTGCTTTGGAGACTTTGAGTTTCTGTATTGTGATTCATCATTAGTGAGGATGCTTAAGATCCCTCCGCATCAAGTTGCAGGACACCAAGCAGGTAATGGGAAGCTTGGTCCGCTCGTGGATGAATCAGGACGTTTCTACAAGCCTCTCCAAGGCGATGAACGAGGGTCCAATGAGGTTAAATTCTACGAATCATTCTCTTCCAACACTAAGATCCCAGAACACATCTCCAAATTCTTCCCCATCTTTTATGGCACTCAGCTCGTAGAGGCGTCCGATGGATCTGGCTTGAAGTCCCACTTAATTTTACATGATCTTGTTCTAGGTCGAGTCAATCCATCAATAGTGGATATTAAAATTGGTTCAAGAACCTGGGCACCAGAGTCAACTGAGGAATATATGCAAAAGTGCTTGAAAAAGGATAGAGAGACATCGAGCCTTCCCTTAGGATTCAGGTTATCGGGGATACAAATCTATGGAAATAAAGAATCAGGTTACTGGAAACCTGAAAGGACTTCAATTCAAAACCTTTCTGCAGAGGAAGTCAAGTTAATGCTGAAAAAGTTTGTTTCTTCTAACGCGTCGACTGACTTGGACTTGGAACCAGATTGTGCTTTTGCAGCAACTGTATATGGCGGTTCTACTGGCATTTTATCGCAGTTGCTAGAGTTGAAAGCATGGTTTGAGGATCAAACAATGTACCATTTTTATTCTTGCTCAATTCTGATGATATTTGACAAAGAACATGCATCGGAAGGACGGAATCCAGGTGCAATAATCAAGTTGATTGATTTTGCTCATGTTATTGAAGGAAGAGGTGTCATTGATCATAACTTCTTGGGTGGTCTCTGCTCTTTGATAAAGTTCATATCTGAAGTTCTTACTGCTCCAAATGAGCACACAACAGAAGTTTCCTCAAAGCCTGATCATCAGAACTTTATTCTCTCTGATAACGGTGCCAATTAATTCAGCTTAAAATCATGTTGCAAATTACACCTTTTTTTTAAGGAAATTCTATTCTAGCATTGCTATGACCCCAGTATATAATAATTTTTACTGGACCCCTGATCATAAATAAACTTTTCTTTCAAATTTTATACTCTATCTAACTTACTTTTAATAGTGCTTTATTTTTCAAAGCATATCATTTGTTGAAGCCTAGTTGATTGATTTATCCTTTGAATGTATACATCTTCCACTAAATGAGTAAACATGATATTATGATAAGAACTTTACTCTTTAAAGCTTACCTTTTCTAAATCTTCCTTCATAGTTGTATTAATTTAGTGGATATTAATTTTATTTAAACCCGTAACAATTATTTTGTCTGTGCTGATTGTTTTGAACTTTTCAAAAGACGAACCCGAAACCAATTATTCCAAAAAGGAGAAAACTTAAAATCAAATAATTTAACCTTAACAATTAAAAATTAAAATAAGAATACATAACACTTAACCATGTGTGAGTACGAAAAACACATATCTTATATTCAATTGTTTGGTGTAATTGTGTGAATAAGGAGGACGAATTTGAAACAAACTTATAACTAAACAAATATTAAACCGTTTCTTGTCTAAAAGCCACTATTTTGATCACTTGGACTTTATTCAAAAGATTTGAAGAAAAAAAAAAGAACTTTTATCAAAAAGACCCAGTCATTTTATTATTTAACTGCAACGTCAAAAACCAAACCCAGGCCGAATGGCGTGATAGAAGGCGCCAAAATCAGTTTATAAGCGAGAGCGGGAGGGAAGAACACTTAGCGTGACTGAGAGAGGGAGAGAGAGAGAGAGAGAGAGATCCAGAATATGGTGATGCTTTGCTTCGTATTGGATCTGCGGAGCTTATCAGCTCCATTGCTTCGCGATTTGAAGCAGGTGATATATCCACATGCATTTACTTATGAACAATTATATGCAGCAATTGAATTTGTTGACTATTTGCTGGTGCAAAGCATTGCGTTGTCTTTTTTCAATACTTTTCGAATTTCACTTGAATTTACATATTTAAAATAATAAATTTGACCGATATTCTCTTCTCCGCCAGTCAATGTTGCAGCTCGCAAATTTCTACGCGATATCGTCTCCAAGCAGTAGTACAGACAGTTCGAGATCAAAACCTCTGCTCGATCGCATCGGATTGTGCTATGTATTCAAAAATCGAATCTCACGCACCGATGAAGTAAATATAATATCTCTTCTCTATTTCTAGCTCGAGTATTTAAATGCTTAGGTCCGTATATTCATTTGTAGACTGAAATGCGTACTACTGCTATTTTTACCTGGTAAACTTGTAATAATACTCCCGAACTGATAAGTGATGTTATACACAGCTTAAGATAGCTTATAGTGCACGAGGCAACTTCAATCTCCGTGATTTCCACCATGCAGTGAACAATTTGCCTTCCGATGCCTTTTTACCTGATTTCAACAGTTCTGGAGCTCTATGTATCAGCGGTAATTTTTACGTGAATTTTTATTGATTTCAAAATATTTAAATGCATTCAAGTTGTTGTTCTGCTTCATGCTTATGCTTAATTTGATTTGATCACTCTTGCTACCATTGGTGTGGTCACCATTTGGCGCTTGCAGATTTGAAACTTTGCAGTATCCTAAATGACAAAGTTTTGTACTCATGGGGAGGTCATAATAAAGATATTACGAGAAAGGTGATTTTGATTAGTTCCTGCATATTTGAAAGCCTGGACTCTGCTACCAAAAAGGCTCTCATGGTGATTCATCTACTCTCTGCATTCATATCATTATCTGTTCTACTTTATTCTCCAGATTTTGGACTGATGATTAGATGTCTTAATTGTTCGATTTCTAAACCTTTTGAACTGCAAGCTTCAAGTTGAAAAAAGTGGTGGTTTTGCTGACAGGATGCAGCAGATAACTGTGTTTCCATAGAGTTTATTTTCTTGGAGCAAAATTCAAGTCATCTTGCTGATACTCTTGGAAGTATTAACAAATTCTTGAAGCAGATTGGTGATCTCGAGAACTGCGCATTTCAAAACTATATTCCAGGTTAGAGACACTCCTTAATCCTTCTGTGTAGGAGTCCTTAGAATGATACTTAAAACCTATTTGTTCACCGTGATTTTCATTTTATGATTTAATTCATCTTGATCTTGTCGAGGGTAAATGTAATAAATTGTCTAGTTGAGCAAGGCCTATCATTGGTTTATATAACAGATTCTTAGAATCAACTCTGTTTCCTGAGTTACCGTAGAGATCATTTTGTTTAAAAATCCTTTCAGTCTGTAGGAAGTGAGCTTCCAGATATTAGATTTTAGAAATGCCAATTTTGTTCTTCCTGGTTGTAGCAGGTAGTTCAAAATGAATCTGTGACAAGTTCTCCTTCTCCATGCGTGGTTCTTTGCATCCTTGAGTATGCAAAGAGGTTAAATTTTCTGTTGAGGGATATAAAGGTCAAATGTCCTTGACTTGTTTTAAAAAAAATTGAATCATAAAGGTTAAATATCCTTAATTTTGTTCAATGAATGAGTACACTTGTTGGCCCCTAACATCTTTGTATAATTCCTAGGAAGAATCAAGTTCTCTTTTCTTGTTATTTATAACAAATAGATCTGCAGATGCACATGCTTTGTCTGGCTTGGTAAAGAAATGGTTTCAGGAACTGAAGGAGGCCATGGAAGAACAATTACAGGCTCGTTTTGTCTTCAAGAGCAATCTTTTAGGTTCAACAAACCAGATATCCTGCAACTTGTGCACATCTTTCAACCAGATAATCGATGAACTCGTTCCTTGTAAGGTATACTCATAAAGTTCATTAGGATACCATGCAAAACAATTGATTTATTCTAGATAGGTCCTAAAAGTAACTTCTTGTTTTGAAAATGAAAGTCTTGATGAGCTGGACGGTAAGAATTATCAGTTATAGATTCTTTAGTAAAATCATTGTATCTTTCTCACTGGTTAGGGTTCTTCCTACTGCTAAGTTACATTCTTTAACTGATTGGTAATTGGCCTTCAAGTTTTGGATTTGTTTCAATGATGTATTTAAACTACTTGTTTGTCATGTGATGGCCTGATGAGGGTTAAAAAACAGGTGATATTTTAGATACTATGATTTTAACCATGAGATATTATAAAAAATTCTGAGTAATTGTACAATTTTGCATGATGATTTACCTTTTATTAGTATAGTTTCCCTCCCATATTACTTTCTTGAGACCAATCTCTAGTAGTAAATCTTTGATTGACAAATAGCCCTTGTGCTTGTCAAGTAGTGCGTCAAAGTAATACTACTAATTATGGCGTTCCCTTTAGTTTTCATATCTTTTTTCTAATCACAGATTTGAGTGGGAAGTCTCATAAAACCTTACAAACCATTGAAGTCTTTATCCTTGCTTTTGCAATTTAATCAACTAGGTAATAGAAAAGTAGCTGGGTTTTTTATGCTAAAACATTAGTGTTGAAACCTCATATAGATCTTACGTTCTTGTCCTATAGGAAATATTAACTGACTTCAGAGTTTACGTTTAACTTCTCAATGTTAGTTTTTAAAATGGCAAAAATATTAAAATCCATTAAAGAAAGATAGAATATGCAACAGATTATTTGGTTAAACCTAGAAAGGAGACGAATTATTAAAAAGTAACGACCATCAACTACAGTCCTCTGTGTTTCATATGATGTTCATTTAGTCTTCCTATTCAAGGATCCATCCTCATCTCTAGAAAACGTGTTCTTTCTTTACTCCTCTATAATAACAAATTGCTACCATTATAACAACTATTTTCTTGATTTTGAGTCCTTCCCATAAATGCCAGAATTCTTTTAAAATTTTTAGCCTGAAGGATTGTTAAGTTCCCAAGCCTGTTTAAGTGTAGAGATTTTTCTAAGGCCTTTCAAATTCTAAAGCTAAATAGTTAATTCATTTGCACTTGTTTTGAAATGCCTACTTAGATTTGAAAAACAAAATCAGTTTATCAGCTCATTTCTGTCGTTATTTTGGATTAACTTCAAGGATCAGAAATCCCTTTAAAATTCAAATGTCTATCCTAACAGGCCCATGTAAAATTTCAAATATGTGCCAAAGATACTATATTGGAAAAATGCACTGTTAGATTATCCAATTTGTTCATCAGGAAGTTCAAAAGTTGTCAACCAGAATTATTTTGGCCCCTTGCCAATACTGTATTATGGGTATTGCAGCTGAGAACTAGTTTGGAATAGGAGATATTGCTGAATTTTTTCTTTCTTAGAGAACGCTTCTCTTAGAAGGCATATTTTTTCTTACGAAACTACACATAATGATTGCTTGGTGCTTCTCAAGCTGTCAGAAATCATGACCAGACGAGCATATGTTGATAAACGAATTCAGTTCATTTGGTCGCAATAAAGTACACATCTTCGCGAACTGTTATAAGCTAGTTTTATGGTGAATGTTATTGATATCCCTACCATTAATTGCATCAGTAAACCATTTTTATTCCCCCCTGGGTGTCCAAGAGTATACATCTTTTATTTTCTTGTAGTGAGCAGCAAGTCTCACGTGAAGTTTCTTAGAATTGTCACTCCTTTAACAGTCTTGCAGGTGTCATGGCATTCCATTTGACAACTCAAAAATGATCCGGACGGGTAAGTCTTCTTGTCCAGTAACTGGAGTTGAGCTTGGAGCACTTGATTTGGTTGAGAGCTCTGTGAAGATAGGAGAACATACAATCCTCTACATGCCCTCTTTCCAGTGTTCCCGGGACCTTCAGAAAGTTCCTTTACCAATTAACTTCGATGTTATTGAAAGAACTAACTTGAGATCACTTGATGAAGGTAAGTTTGGATGAAAATAAAAAGCATTCTGTGTTAAATTTTGCATTCTATTGTTAATGTCTGGTCCCAGTTGAAAATATATTAGCTATGAGAAATCAAAGTCCTAACAAAGAAAAAACTTATACCGATGCCCTCTCTTTGCACTTGTGAGAGAGGAAGCCTTGCCTGTCCCTTTCTTAACTCAGTCATCAGTTTGCTACCTCTTTCTCATGACTGATGATCTACACTCAATATCAGCTTTTGTTTCTTAACAGGGATTATTTTAGGTACTTCCTACATTGTTACCCCAGCTTTGTTTGAGT